GGCAAGTCTTTTTTGCCACAGCGCGGAAGAGGATGGGGGCTTGGTCTTTGCACAGTGAGATGTGAGGCCATCAGGCCACACTAAAGGGACAAGGCCAGAAGGTGCATCGACAGGCAGCAGGTGAGGCCTGTGCTCACACAGCTGTGGCCAGTCTGGAGTGGCCGCCAACTGGAGACCACAGGCTGGCAGAGGGGTCTGTGCTGGCCTGGAGGACAGCCTCCCTGACTAGGAACAGCTGGACTCTCCTTGTCCTTGTGAGCTCAGAGGCATTTGTGATCTAAGTACCCTCAGGGCTGAAGTGTTGGCCAGAGGTTAAGAGCACTTATCGCTCTGTGCAGAGGACCCAGGTTTGATGCCCAGCATCCACATGGCAGCTCACAACTGTCTGGAACCCCAGTCCCAGAGCATCTGATGCATTTTTCTAACCATCTGACACCAGGCACACACGTGACACACATATATACACATGCAGGCTAAACACCCACCCACACCCACCCACCCACCCACCCACACACACACACACACACACACACACGCACGCACGCACGCACGCACGCACGCACGCACACGCTGTGGTGGCTCGAAAGAAGACGGTCTCCAAAGGGAGTGGCACTATTGGGAGCTGTGGCCTTGTCGGAGGCAGTGTGTCACTGTGGGGGCGGGCTTTGAGGTCTCTTTTGCTCAAGCTTCCCTCAGTGTGGCAGTCAGTCAGCTTCCTGTTGCCTGCAAGATGTAACACGCTCAGCTCCAGCACCATGTCTGCCTGCAGGCCGCCATGCTCCCCATCCTGATGATAATGGACTGAACCTCTGAAACTGTATGCCACCATCTCAATGAAATGTTTTCCTTTGTAAGAGCTGCCGTGATCATGGTGTCTCTTCACAGCAAAAAATACCCTAACTAAGACACACACACACACACACACACACACACACACACACACACACACACACGATCAAAGTATCCCAAATCAGCAGTCTGGCATGTGAAACGAATCCTCATTGGCATCTGTCACCTATAACCTGACATTTTCCCTAGACAACTGGCTATTTGCAAAGGGCATTTAAGCCTTCAAATCCCAGTGTGGAAACACAAGGCAACTCACAAAGTAAGGGAAGGGCAGAGGGAGAGACCTTGGAGGAATGACCCGAGGCTTCTGGGCACAATTCTGGGGGTCTTCGATTGACCCCGGCTTCATCTCAACAGATGGCAGAACAAATTCCTAATTAAGCGCCAGAAACTTTCCGGCTCAGCGCATTTATTCACGATTTTCCGGTCCCTTTGGTACCCATTCTTGCTCCTTGTCTTCTGAAACCCGAGCCAGCTTACGGCCTCTCTGAGCCTCTACTTGGCTCTTGAAAAGGCACAGCCTTCATTTGGGGAGAGGAGAGAGAGTGTGTGTGCTGGCACTGGGTGAGGAGGAGGGAAGTTAGGGAGGAGGAGGAGGAGTGTGGGGAGGAGGGTCCTGAGAGGGACATGCCACACAGCTGCTTCTCAGAGGCAGAGTGACAACTTGGCAAAGGCTCCAGAGGACAAACGGGGTTCTGAGCTCACTGCCCAAAGGGTGTTCTACAAAAACTGCCTGGGGGTGAGCTTGGCTCGGAGAGACACTCTTGCTGTGGCCCAGCGCCCGCTGAGGTCCCTTCCGCTGAGGGCTGCCTGTCTGGTGTAGCTTGGGGACTGGGGTGGGGGGGGGTCCTGTTGCCTAGATCTCCTCTTTAGAGCAAGACCTGCTTAGGTGGAGGAAAAGGCCTGCACCTGGCTGCGAAGAGAACAGCCTGGCACTTCCTCTGCCCCAGCTGCGAGCCTAACCCCGCTTGCTAAGGTCTAGTTTACTTAACAGCGATTTTCCTTTTCCTGGGCGGCTCTGTCACTGGGAGGCCCAGCTTTCTGAGTCCAAAGGTCGGAGTCTCTCGGAGAAAAATGACTGCTTCCGCTGTCGCCCACAGCAGTGTGCCCGCCCAGGAGACCCCCTGACATTTGATTATCTCTCAGCACCAAGGGAGGAGAGAGGCAACCGGTGGCGAAGGCAGTGTGTCAAGACAGCTGTGTGGCTACCAAGACACAAGTGCCAAGCACCCCCTGGCTGGTCTCTGCTCAGACTCCCACCGCTGCCCACCGGCCCTCCGGGGGCCACTGTCTCCTGCTCTGCAGCACGCAGGAGCCGCTCAGAGACCCCAGGAGCCCCGGGCTAGAGGTGGGGCTCTCCTGCCTTGTAAGAGGCAAGGCCGCAGTTCCCATGGGGGGGGCAGCGACTTGAGTTGGGGACTTGCTTATATACCTTGAACTTTTTTACTTTGTTTCTTTTCTTTTTGGGGTTTTGGAGACAGGGCTTCTCTGTGTAGCCCTGGCTGTTCTGGAACTCACTCTGTAGACCAGCCTAGCCTGAAACTCAGATATCCGCCCGTCTCTGCTTCCTGAGTGCTGGGAGTAAAGGCCTGCACACTGCCACCATTTAGCCTTACTTTGCTTCTTTAAGGTTAAAGTTTTGCCGTTTTGTGAGCCTGAGCCTTTAATAGGGAAGCTCTTTCTCCAGGCCTGTTTTTATTATTTTAAGTTATGTGTGTGTTTGTCTGTCTGCATGTGGGTATATGCACATGCACGCCAGTGCCAGTGGGGGCAGAGGCATCAGATCCCCCTGGAGCTGGAATTACAGGCAGCTGCGAACCACCCATGGGTGCTGGGACCATGCATGTGCACTTACTCCCTCGAATGTTGGCGGCAGTGTGCGAAGGAAGGTCAGAAGACAACCTCTGGTGTCAGGGTTAGTCTTCGGCCTTGCTTTGCGACAGTCTCTCTTGTCTACTGCTGCATAGAGAGCTTCGAGTTTCTGGAGATCCTCTGTCTCTCACCCCGTCTTCCCATAAGAGCTGGGATCCCAGACCCCTGCACTGCTGTGTCCAGCTTCTATGCAGGTTCTGAGGAGCCAAACTCAGGTTATCAGGCATGTGTGGCGAGTGCTTTTACCTACTGAGCCAGCTCACTAACACACCAGGTGTCTGGCCAGATTCAAGGGGAGGGTAGAATGGAAGGGAGCAAAGGCAGGTTGGAGGCAGACTTCCAGGGTCAGGGCTTGCTGGCGTCAGAGCTCTACTGTAATGCTGACCCAATTCTAGTACTTGCAAGAAATATTTATTTACTGTTAGCTGCTTCCTTTCCCTTTCACGAGTCCCTCCTTCCACTTCCTCTCTTTCTGAGACAGGCTCTCATGTAGCCCAGGCTGGGTTTTCCATGTAGTTGAGGCTGGCCTTGAACTCCTGACCCTCCTGCCTCCTCCTCTTTTGTGTAGGGATTACAAATGTGTGCTGCTGCACTGGGCCCAAGCTTCCCTCTTTAGATGGATACATCCTTCAAAAATATAGAAGTTAACTGTCATTATCCGGGCTGTTGTCCCCTTATGGGCTGGCATAGGAATCCACCAAGCTGGTCAGAGCATGTGCCCTCTCCCCCACTCATCCCTCAAAGTTACCCCAGTCATGGAAAGAGATGAGAAAGAGTCAGTTTCAGGCCAGAGCTTAGACAGCCCCTTCCCAGGCCACGGAAGACAGGCAAGCACCAGCAGGGCAGGGGTCAGACTTGTGGACCCAGCCTCAGGGAGTATAAGAAGGAGGTGGGTGACAGGCAGGTGAGGGCAGAGAGCATTCCTCTCCAAACCCTGCCCACAAAAGACACCCTGAAACTCTCACATTCATCACATAGGCCAAGATATAAGAGCTGGGAAGAGCTTGGGGTCTGACCCCTGCCAGCCCGGATTTCTAGTCACCAAGCCCTCTGGGGCTCCTAGAGAGTTGGGGGGCTGCCCCACCCCCAAGCGGCAGAGCCTGCTCTCGCTGGGGCAAGCCAGGATGTTTGAAAGGATGACCTTCCCTTTCTACTGTGGAAGCCAGGGCTCCCATGGTTTCTTCCACTGCGCTGGGGGAACCAGGGGCTCGGAGAAGTGGCCCTTAGCAGAATCATCACCCTGCTCATGTGGCATAGAATCAACAGTAGCCTGATCCTTGGTCCTGATGGGAGTTAAGGAGGCTCAGGAGGACAGACAGCCAGGAAGAAGGAACCCTGAGAACTCTGTGCAGGGAGTGGGGTAGGATGGGGGCTCCTGGACAAGTCCCATGTAGCCAAGGCTGGCCTTGAATTAACTCACTTTGTGGCTAAGTATGACCTCGAACTCCTGATCCTACCTCAATCTCTCGAGTGCCACAGTACAGGTACAGGCCACCACCTCTGGTTTGCTGCTGGGGACGGACCACCCCTGGGCTTCATGCATACCAGACAGGCCCTCACGGAAGTTACAACTCCACCCCACCCCGGTTTAGCTTTTACGCTGAGAAAGATAGACACACAACACACAGCCAGCCCGAGGAGAAGCAACAGCAGCTCTGCAGCTGATCGTCCTCAACCCTGCTGCACCAGCCACTGGCTCCTTCCCCAAGGTGGCTGACGGGTGTGGCAGAAGAGTGACCCGGTTTAAGGGGGAAGACCCCCAACATCCACCTGAGCACAAGGGTGCGGCCAGCCAGGGGTGGGCATCCGCTAGTTAGAAGCCACTGCAGACAGTGTAGGCATCTTTGCACACTCCGGTGGTGTAAAGCTCAGGAAAGGGCGGCTGCTGCCCTGGCCCACCGGGTTTCATGGCTGTGCCATACACCTGAGTCGGCGGAATGGCGTTGTTCCTGTCACCTCCAGGGGGCGCAGCCCAACCTAGCATGGCCATGTGAAGGAGGCCGGACCAGAATTAGCAGTTCAGGTCCTAGCCCAGTTCCATGCGTTCAATGTGACCTGGAAAAAGTCACTCGCATTCTTTGGTACTAAATTTCCCCAGCAGTAAAAGGCCGACAGAGCATTTGCCTTCTCCTTGCCCTCTAGAAAGGTCAGAGGACCAGGAGGGCTGATTGGATTGGATGGAGCCACGGCCACATCCCAGCTGGGAGTTTGCCTCGTTTCCCTGCAGGGGCAGAGAGAGGGGGAGACGGGGAGACGATTGGGAGATTTCCCAGACTCACCGATCCATCTCATCAGAGAGGTCAAGATCTGTAGGTACTTAGTCTTCTGGACGTCAAAGAAGGTGAAAGGTCCAAGGAGGAGGGTGAAGACAGCCTGGGGATGAAAACAGCGATGAGGTGGTGTGCAGAGCCCGTACATGCGGCTAAGGCGCGGTAGCACTGGTGAATACTAGCACTTCATGGCAGAGCCTTCCCAGGGTCCATCAGCAGCGTCACTGAAGGTAAACACCAAGGACCAGAGGCAGGCGGGGCAGCCAGAGCCTCACTGCCCTACAGTTTACTTCCAGTTCTGATGTCACTGCCACTTCAAGGCAAGGCCCAGGCTTCCTCCTGGGACCTCCACCCATTCACCCTGTTGGTTTGGCAGGCACCGATGACGGAACCTCAGACCCAGCAGTGTGCTGCCGTGTGTGGACGAGGAGTGAAACACCAGTGAAGAGGACCCAGGAGGAAACTGGGTACCAGACAGCCCCTGAGGACAGAGGGACATGAGGGCTCCGACTGAGGCATGCGAGAGGATGAGGATGTCCTGTGTCCTCTCAACAAGGAGGACAGAGGACGAGCCAGGGCTGCGGGGCCAGGGAAGACCCAGGTGTGGTGGCTCAAGCCCATTCTCGCAGGCCTGCTACTCCAGCGCCCTGAGGGTGGGGGCAGAAGGACTTCGAGGCCAAGGTCATCTCATCTACATAAAGAGGCGGAGGCGAAGAAGTCAGGGGGCGGGAGGCGATGCTCGGAGACTCGGCGGGCATCTGTGACACTGGCCTCCTAACTTCCCTTTTCTTTGGAGAACAAGGGGAAAACGCCTAACTTAAAGAAAATAAATTGAACCCTGCCTTAGGCTGCTGGCCTGTGGGTATGCAGGCCTCTTTACAAAAAGCAATTAGGGTAGATATGGTGACGTCTGGGGGGGGGGGGGTTGGGCTTTCCATGCCGAAGTGGCTGCTCCGGAAGCAGAGGGATTAAAAGCTGCTCCTTGGAGTTGAGATGGTACCGTTTCCAATCTGCTGCTTGGAAGCAGGCGAAACATCAGCCCTTATCAACATTTACACTGTGCCATTTCATCACGCCGATGCTGATGACACTCACCAGAGACGTGGCATACGGCGGCGGGGTGGTGGTGCAGAGCCTGAGGAACTCGGGGGAGAGGAGCCTACCATGGGGAGCTGGGCTCTGACCCTGTAAGCAGGGTGACTCTGTCACAGCTGCCAAGTAGTGGGGGAGGGGGAGGAAAGAGACAGTTTCTGTGACAGGCAAAAGGGAGCTCCTGGGGGTGGGGAGCCCCCTCCACCCCCTCCACTAGGAGGGCAGGAAGTGGGGGAAGCTGTGACCTCTTATCCAAGACCATTATCACTGTGAGAATGAATGACAGGAGGGCTCAGGCTCCAGCTCCGCCCAAGAAGAGCTCTAATTAGCTGGGGTGGGTGAAGGCGTCCTGGCAGTCAGTCACCAGGGCTGGGAGATTGCTGGAGAGGAGACTTTCTGCTGGGGGCCTCAAAACCAGCCTTGCTTCTGTTTGGGGGGAGGGGGGCGGGGAGAGAAGCCTTTGTTTAGGCTGGGTGACAGCGAAAGGCAGGGGCAGGGACTCTGGGAAGGGGAAGGCAGGTGTCTGTGTAGCCCAGGCAGGACAGCTGGACCACAGTAAGAAAATGCACACCAGCCACCACCCCTGGCCCAGCCTGTCTGCACACAGCACCATCAAGAAGTCATTTAGGAGAATTCCCACTTCAGGAAAACTTTCCATTGAGGAAGTTCTCTTTTGAAGCGGAGAGAAGGGGCTGGCTGGGAGAGGCATAAACACACAAGGTGTCCCAGTGTCTTTGGTCTGCTGGGAATGGGGCTCTTGGTACGTCCGGAGTTTAGGCAGTTCAGCTCTGAACAGTGATGTCTCCAGCCGCAAACATGGTGCCCAACTGTGGAAGCCAGAAATCTCGGGGTGGCTCATGTGGAAGGTCAGATGTCATACAGAGCATGACACCTGAATTTTAGAATGTTCTAGTGCGTAGAGACAGGGTGCAGTAGTGGAGCCATCCCGGAGGGCAGCTCTGAAGCCCACCGCTGCAAAGGCCCAGGGTCACCCTCCAGGGGCCCCTGCACAGAAGCCTCATCTTCTTCCTCACCCTCAGTGTGCCCTTGCAAAGACCCTATGGGCAGAATCCGAGGCGCACAGGGTCCCTGGGACCAACTGAGCGACAGAGAGTCCGAATGAGGGCCCGCCTGTGTAGGCCATGTTCAGGCCAGACACCAGGTGTATCCTTGGAACAGGACCTGGTAGTAAAGAGGTCTTTTAGGGCTGAGTCCCAGCAGTGGCACTGATGGCTGGACTATGGCTGTGCTTCCTTTCAGTAGTCAGAAACACAGACCAGCCTCACTGCTGAGGACGTTCAGGGCCCACCAAGTCACAGGTGGCACGCACAGACTGCCAGACAGCGGCCCTTGCACGGGGTGCAAGCTCACACAGCGGAGGAAGCCCAGACGAAGCAGCAGATCTGGAGCTGGGGCCAATTAACTTACAGGTGTCTTTTGCAAATCAGCTCAAGGCAGAACTGAGCAACTGCAGGCGTGGGCATGCAGAGTGACAGAGGGTGGGTGTGGAAGCCGGAAGGGAGAGGTTTGCCGGAGTCCAGCTGAGTCCACTGTGGAGGTCATCACCAGCCAGATGAGGCACACTCTTCCCCTTTTACAGAAAGAGGGGAGAGAGCCAAGAGACAGCCGATCCTCTTGCATCTTCCAGTCTAGCCCACATGACATTATAAATTAGCTGGCTCCTGAGCAAATTTCCCAACCCCCAAATGCCATTGATCAGTTCCACCTCATTCTCTGTTCAAGGATGCCTGTCGCCCCTCTCAGGGCGACAGGGACACAGCCCAAGCATGTTTCTTTAAAAAAAGAAAGGGAAGGAAAAAGAAAAAAAAGAACCAGCAATGCTTTGATTTCTAATGAAATCTTCAGGCTGCTCTCTGAGAATAAAGTCCGAGGCAGACAGGGAGGGGGGCGAACAGAGCCACTCAAATCTCTCTTTCTGGGTCAGTGAGTTTCACCGAACACCGAAGGCCCCACAGCAACCTTGCTGGAGCCTTGATGGACGCGCGGCAGCTCGTGTTCCCAAGGCACCACAGGCAGTAGTCAGCCAGGATTTTTTAGAACATTCTGGAGTCTACTGTTTGTCAGGGCTGTCTGCCTTCCTGTGAGCCCCAGGCAGGCGACATTCACCCCAGCTGCTCAGGTGTCAAGTGTCCAGCCGTCTCCAATCCCTTTCTTGACACAAGCATGTGATTTCTGTGGATACCATAACACATCCCCCAAATAAGTGACTCCAGACCAGACAGATTCTCTCCAAACCCAGGAGTACCAGGTATGCCTCAGCAAGGTTCCCAATGGTGCCACATCGCGCCCCCTACAGGACACTGCCACACCCAGCACATGAGCCAAGCAAGCAATAGGGTTGCAGGAAGCTGAATTTCTCCAACCTGCGTGAGAAGTGACCCTCAATGTCACAATGGGGACTGGCGACCTGGGGCAGGCACTGGGAGCCTCACACAGGCTGGATGGGCTGTGTGGACTCCCCTGCCCCATAACATGGGGCTTTGTTGAGGTCAGGAAGTGCCAAGACTTGAGCGTCTTACTCAGTGGTCCTCAGCCTTCCTAGTGCTGCCACCCTTTAACACAGTTCCTCATGCTGTGATGACCCCCACAACCATAAAATCATTTTTGATATGACTTCATAACTGTAATTCTGCTACTATTATGAACTGTAACGCACATATCTGTGTTTTCAGATGGCTGTAGGTGACTCCCGTGAGAGGTGCTCGGGCCCAAAGGAGTTGAGACCCACAGGTTGAGAACTGGTGTTCTAACCGGAGCCTCCATTCCCCATGCAGTGCATTGTCTCAGGTGCCAGCTCTAAAGCAGGGGTGGGTGGGGTGGACACTGAGCTATTGACCAGTGGATCTTTATATCAAGAACGCTGCTGAGGCGGAGCCACATTCACCTTTGGCCTGACCCCACCACACTGGGCATGCTCGGAACAAATGCTCTGATTCCACTCCATCTTGTCTTATAGGAAATGGGCCTGGGACAGGCCAGGCATGCCATGCTGTCTGTCTGCTTAGGAGGCAGGGATACATGAGTGACAGTCTACACTGCAGCACCAAGAAAAGCAGTGTGATGCCAACTTTTCCTGTCCCCAAATCTTCCCGGACAGAGAAACAAAGCATACACTTGGTGTCAAGCACAAATTAACTGTCCCACAAGGGGTTCTGAAAGCTCAGGTCCCACCACCGGACAGGTCATGGTCTCATTTGTGTCCCCCCCCCTCCGCTATCCCCCCCACCCTCGTTTCATCACTCCACTTCTATCAAAGTCACCCTGTGATGACATCCCTGCTCAAGGCCACAGGCTCCTCCCCATCTGCAAAGCACCCACGTATGAGGCTTCCTAACACCCCCCCTTATGTGCAAAGTCTTCAGAGCAGGTGGTGGCCCTGCATCTTGCCCACTGAGGAGACTGGGGGGAGGGGGGCGGGGAAGTTCAGGGGCAGAGGAGGAAAGTTGCAGAGTTAAGTACTGACATCTCCTGACGCAGCCGGCTTCCTCTGCAAACAAATCCAGCTCACAGCACCCACCTCAGAGAGGCCGCTTCCCTCTTCCCTCTCCCCGCCCCGCATTGAGCTAATCCCCGCCCTCACTCACGCCTCTCTGCCCTCTGGACCTTCCCGCTGACAGACAAGCTCCCTCATCACTTTCTCTGGCCCCACCTCCAGCCTGGCAGTAACTTCAGGCTTCTCCGGGCTCGTGACTGCATCGCCAGTGCATGGTGGCACCGCATGACTTCTGTCCTGCAGGGAACAGGGCTGCTCCTGCATCTCCAGCAGGACAGTCATCACACTGAGGGCAAGGACCACATCCTTGCTGTCCCAACAGATAGAGGAGACTTTGTACACGTGACATCCGTGGCTATGTTGCACCTGGTGAGGTGCCGAGGAAGAAGGTGTCACCTCGTGTTGGGGAAGAGGCACCCTAGCTTTGCTGATCTGCTTTGTCCCCCTTTCTGCCTTAGCCAGGCAGCTGTGTAGACCCACACCTGTTGAAGGGAAGT